TGTCTTACATTAAGCCGGCCCATTCAGGCACATCCCCACTCCAATTCCCTGGCCACCAGAATTCTCTCCAGCTTAGCAGCAGCCTTTTCTCCCTGTCCTCTTTGGCCTTTTGAATGATAACCTTGAATAGTATTGTCTGGGGGCATGAAGGAGGGTAAAGAAATTCCTTGGTTCTTGACAGAGAGCAGGAAGGCTTGACAAAAGGCATCAGCACTCCCTAAATCAGAGAATGTGGAGGATATGAAAAGGGGGCAGTTTTTCTTTCAGGTAAAAAGCGTTGACAGAAAAGGATGGGGAACAATAGCGCTGCTCTGACGGAATAAAGCACTTCTCTGTGTGCGTTTTTTAAAGCACTGAAAATGCGATTTCAAAACTGAGCTCAGCTACGATGATGAAATCTGAGGCAAGGATATGCAGAAGAGAGATCACTATATTAGAGCAGATTTTATGGATTGAACACTGACATGTTGGACTGATTGTATTTGATTAAGCCCATTTAACTGAACCCTTTCCCAGTTCATAGAATACCCTTTCAGAGAAGCCATTAGGCCTGAGATAGTCATTCTGATAACGATCACATGGAGATCAATTGAAACTCGATCTGTGAATAAGTTGTCTGGCCTCTTATATTCTGCACCGCGCGTTCTCTCCGACCCTTCCCCTTCCTCTTCACCTCCTCCTCCAGAGAAGACGATTAGGCATCGGCCGGGTGCCATAGCAACTGAAACAAGACTCCAAAATGGGATAAGGTTTTACAAACAGTGGTTGTTGGCAAAAAGCAGCAAGGTAAACAAACAAACCTCCCAGGCCTGTGTGGATAGAGCAGCACTTGAACCTCTCCTGATCTCCCAGAGAGATGGGGGCATCTTTAAGTTTGACCTGAGGGGGCCGACTGATGCTGCTGAAGGGAGACTTGTTATTTTGATTCCTAATAACCTCTGTGGGAGGCATACAGAGCGACTGTGGACGTGATGGTGGCACCAGATTTCTCACATTTATGATCTTTTACATCCGTCTGTTCTACCATGTCATGCAGTTGCTGCATATAGCTGCTGTAACAGGCCTTCTGGTGACTTCCACCAACTACCCTCATGGCAGCTCCTCCAGTCCTACAGCGATTTCATCATGAGGCAGCCATCTGCTCACAGCAAAATGAGCCGCTTTTTGAAGTTGATCATGTTGCCTGAAAGAGAAATAAACCTTTTTTGTGGTTTGGAGAAAGAAATGAAAAAACCCTATCAGTTAGAATTGAAGTGACTGAATTCACAGAACATTTTTTTGAAAATTTTGAATTAATGCATCACCATGTTTTGGTGCAAAAAAACTCTGATATATTATGTATTGGACATTCGATCATGCTGTAATTAATATATATTAGATTTTACGTTAAAGAGAGGTCTATTGCAGTGTTCTTCCTTAACTTAATAAACCAATTTGTCCCGAGGGGAAGAATTCAGTTTTAAAGGTCCCATATTGTTTAAAGGTAGATGTCCATATCTTTTTTGATCATAAAGCAGGTCTCGGTTCTATTTTAATACTGTGAAAGTATCAAAGCACTCAGTCCACAGAGAAATGCACACAGCCTGTATTCAGAAACTGAGCTTTAAAATGAGCTGTCAGTACTTGCGTAACTTTGTGATGTCATAATGAAGCAGTCACTACTCTGTCATGCCCCAAACCCAGCCCACCCGGACCCACCATACAACCTTGCAGGATTTGCTTTCTCTGAGTGTTTACAGGAAATCTACTATATTTTTATTTACTTTATATAGATCTATTTACTCAGAGCAAGAGTAGGCCAATCAGAAGAGAGGCTCAGAGCCTCCTCTCTTCTAATTGGCTCACCGACCTGTTGTTACTAGAGCTCCAGAGACAAGCCTGAGAGAAGAGATGTAAAACTACATTGAGATGCTTTTTGATTCTTAAAACCACAAATATATCTTCTTACGGATCAACCCTTCAAATACAAACACTGGAAAAGTGTAGAATATGGGACCTTTAGTTTATCCTTATTCAGAGTTTGTGATTGTAGCATGTCCACTAGCTCAGCAGTTCTTAAGCTGGCGACCAGGACTTTTGATTTAGGTCAAGAAATTTGGGGGAATTCACTGAAAGATTTTTAGAAAAAACACAACACAGATTGTCTTCATTTGCAGCCCGTGATAGGAGGTTATGAGAAGCCCTTGCTTGAGTTTAAGGGGGTCACAGGCCAAAAGGGTCACAGTGCTGCTGTAGCTGAGGGGCGCATCGGTGTCAGCTTAGGAAAACAAGAAGGACAGGAAGTATCTGTCTACAACAACATGCATGGAGAATCAAAGCCTGAGGTAGTTTCCTCTGACAAGTCCACACTTATTTCAAGCAGCTCGACTCGTAAACATTATGAGAAAGAACGTTTTTCATTCTTGGTAATCTTTCTCCCACATCCCAGTCACCACCAGCCTCCCTACCTCTGCTTCTCAATAACCCACATAGTGAGTGTGGAGGATGGGATTTGATGGAATTAACTATCCTGGGAAAAAATAAATAAATCAAATAAATAAAAGCCAAAAGAGAGATGTTGGACCACGTACTGTACGATTCGGAATTGAATTACACCTTGGCTTTGTGTTGATATTTTTGTTCACCTGCTCCCCACAGCGATTTGTTTCACAGTATCTGCTTTAATGGTAACATGCGAGTGCTCCGACTGATTTCACCCACTGCAGCAGTGTTGCAGGCTCAGTGAGTTTATCCCCAAAACCAACAGAAAACACTGACAGTTCACCCAGAAACCCTTTTTTTTTTTTTTTTTTTTTTTTTTTTTTTTTGTGGTGTGGTTACACAATGGAACTGAGCTCTTGTCTTTCTCATGGCAATAACTTCCCTACTCCCTTCAGTCTAGAGCAATTTTCAGTGCTCATGTCGTCATCATCATCATCATCTGACCTGATGTGGAAACTATGCACTGAAGTCTTTCTTTGCTCATTCTTCTCTCTCTGAGGTGCCTGCTACACAGTGCAGCAGCTCTTTACGGGTTTGACCATTTTAACGAGCGTGTTAATCGAAGCATGATTGAGAATCCCCATAAATCTTGATTTTTCAAATGCATATTGTACAGCTTGCTGGATAGAATAACAATGTCTCTGTGAAACAAAACCACATTTTGACTGTATTCTTTTTTTTTTTTTTTTGTTCCCTTCTGCTGCAAGGAAATTCAATTTGATTACATGCTGCTGCATCTCGCTGCATTACACAACACTTGAAAGAGAATTTCTGATTTTGTTAAATATTAATCATGAATACATTATCATGCTGGCATGCTTTACAGTCTTTACTGTTACAAATCTGAATCAAAACACATTTAATAACATTATATAACTGAGAATATTTTAATGACTGTGTGGATGCTCACTTGCTTCTAAATGCATTGTTTTGTACCTTGTAGAATAGTGGGATTTTATGTTCACCAGGGGTCCACATTGGATGCTTGTACAGGGATTCACATCAAATTCTCCAATGTTTCTTTTGCTGCACTGCTCCGTTAAAGGTAGTAATTTTAGGTTTGAAGCAGAAACTCGTCTGAAGTTCTCTTAAGGGTCTGAAGAAGAAACGGCTGGGTTGTTATGTATGAAAATCCCCGGATCCCCTCTGATCCTGAGCTGTAATGACACAGACTTGGTCAGAGCCTTTTTATATCCCTTCATTCTCATCAACATGCCAGAGTTTCACCGAATTGATTTTCTAGCACAGGTGCCATAATCAGCCAGTCTATTTTCCTCCCAGAACCAAGCCGATGACATTCACCGTCCTTTTCGCCCTGCGACTGGGGAAAACACACACACACACACACACACGTCTTTTTCACTTCTCCTGTTCCACCTCAGATGTTAGCCAGTTTGTCTAGCCCATCTGCATTAGCATGTGGATTAATTCCTGCTTGTTATCTGGCCTAGATGTAATAAGGCAGTCCTGGATGGCAGGGGTAATCAGGTTGGAAGGCAGAGCTTTCTCGCCTTCTCTTCCTCTGCTGCCATCCTCACATCCCAAAACTGATAGCAGGGCAGACACATTGGAGGGGATTAAGCTAATGTGATGGCAGAGCCACCTACCAGGGGCCCCCACAGGGTAATTTCAAGAGACAGGCCTTGGCATCCAGGGAATAACTTGTCAAGACCTGGCTACAGGCAAATATTGAGGATATTAATCCTTAATGTAATGGCCTTGACTAGATTTTACTCTTGTCTCTGTGTGCAGCTTTAAGCACAGTCATAAGTCTCTTTAATCACTGACATAAAGCAGTCCCTCAAGGATTTTCCAGAGTTTTACAGTAATTATTGCGTACCAAAAAATGCTTGGTTTTTTTCCGCTGCCAAGCCATTTGCATATGTTCGTTGTTCATTTGCTGTGGTTTTATGAGCTGCTGGCAGAGGAGTGCTTTGTTTTGTTGTGCAGTAAAAAAAAAAATTTGTTAAAGTCAGAATCCGTGTCATTTTACAAAGGGATGTTCAGAGGTAAAATTGCAGGAACAGGTCAGCGCCGCCTGCCTATCAGAATCTGCTGCAAACGGTTGATAAGGTGAAAAAAAAAAGAAAATCACTCAGGTAAGGTCGTGCACATCACTCTATTGGAGAGCTGCAGCCCATTGTCTTTTTCTGGTCATTTTAATTAAAACATAAATGAATGAATGAGAGGGAATCCAGACAAAAGTTTAGCAGGATTTCACCTTGCTGGATATCTGGATGCAACAAAGAAATAATAACAGCGCTTTGCATTTTTCTTCCTCATTAATGAAAAGATTCTTAAATTATGAAAAACCCACAGAGGCGAGGTCTCACAAAAAAAAAATGCAGACCTTCCTCAAAGAGCTGAGTGAACACCTTCATAATGAGACTTTGTCCTTGCCGCGGTTTTCCCCCTCACTTACGGTGTCTTCTCAGCCTCTGGCCATGTTTGATGATATTTTTTTGAACACCCTGGTGATTCCTTCCTCACTGACTGACTCGCCTCCTCTTCCTCCTCAGGTCTGCTCATAGGGTCGGGCTGCGCGCTCTATCCACTGGGATGGGACAGTGAGGAAGTGCAACAGACCTGCAACAACAGCTCAGACCAGTTTCAGCTAGGTAAGATGCCTATCAGAAAGATCCATCACACACACACACACACCTGCAGCCTGCTCCTAAATTACACACAGATGTTCCAACCTTGACTGTGTAAATTTGTCTCGCATTTGCTGAATATTCTGCTCCCAGAACAGATAAATCTAGGAAGAAGTTGGAAACTGAGAACAGTCTTTATTGTGTGGCCTTTGACATTCTGCTTTTTTTTTTAGGCACCAGGCAGACACAAGTCTCTCGTACTGTCATATACAGAAGAGACGTGATCCGCTGGTATTTAAAATGTGTAATAAAAAGTCAACAGAACCTCCAGTCGCTGTCAATTTCTGAAGTGTTTTATAGCTATAAATATGTGCTGAGAATAAGCAGGAGCTCGATTTGTGCTCTGTATTCAGCTGGCATTATCAGGACTATCTCACAGACAGTAATATGCTACTGTATCACTCACTAGGCAGATGGAAGAGCTATTAATACTGCAGCTTCTCTTTTATTTGTTACTAATCAAATACTGTTTGATTTTTTTTTTTTTACTTAATGTAAAAGATTTTTTTTTGAGTACTTAAATTAATATTATTACCAAACAGAGTAGCACATGGAGAAATCTATTTGGCGTGATTGGAATATTTTAATTAAATGTCACAGGTAGAATTTTGATAACCTATGTAATCAGGTGACAGCGGGTACACTTTGCTCTTTCTTTTAATTTACATCAATGTCCAACCATGCTACAGTTTCTGTCACTTGTAATTCTTTTTGACAAGAACTTGAATGTTTCTCTTACTTTATTCCTTGCACATTAAGATGCACAGAGCTTCTATGTAATCACTGAACTGCATTACTATATCTATTAACTCCTGAGCGAAAAGATGTGTCTTGTCACAAAACAACTAGTTAAATCCTGCAAGAGTTCCCTGTAGGATGTGATTTTCATTACACCTCATAATTACGCGAGGGAAGTTTTTGACCTGACAGTGGCACCAGAGAACCACTAGACAATGAATATTCATATCACATTTCATGACAATCTAATCAGCAGCTGTTGAGATATATTATTCTGGACACATGGATGGATCTAGATCTGAAATACTAACACCACCATCCTCAGAAACCATTGACAACAAGGCAAAAATAACAACTATGTTAGTTTAGAAATGCAAGTTAAAGGTCTCGTATTATATAAAGTGAGTCTTCCATGTCTTTTCTGATTATGAAGCAGGTCTAGGTTCTATATTAATACTGTGAAAGTATCAAAGCGCTCAGTCCACAGAGAATTGCACACAGCCTGTATTCAGAAACTGAGGCTTAAAACAAGCCTTCGGTACTTCTGTAACTTAGTGATGTAACAGCACAGCAGTCACCATCCTCAGTCATGCCCCAAGCTCGGCCCACCTGGACCCACCGTTCAGCCTTTGCAGGATTTTGTTTACTTTAAGTGTTTAGCTGAAATCTGCTATATTTTTATTTGACCCCTCAGAAAACAGTGAGCCAATCAGAAGAGAGGCTCTGAGCCTCTCTTCTGATTGGCTCATTGTCACTGACCTGTTGTTACTAGAGCTCCAGAGAGAAGCCTGAGAGAGGAGATGTAAAACTACATAGAGATGGTTTTTGGTTCTTAAAACCGCAAATATATCTTATATTCCAGTATATGTTATCATGGATATGAAAACTTCAAAGAAAACACTGGAAAAGTGTAAAATATGGGACCTTTAATACATGGTAAACAACCATGTGTGTTAATAACAGTAACTCTACTGACATCAAAGAACAAAAAAAGCTTTCAAAATACAGCCAACACTAAAAGGATTGTAGTCATGTAAGATATGGATTCATACTACAGCTGCCACTGTGTTAGCAGAGAGATGTGTAAAGCACCTAAATCTAAACCATCTCCATATAATTCAAACTGATATGATTCAGACAGACATCCTAAATACTGACATTTCAAACAAAGTCAACTGAAATAATTGTGTAGAGTATCAAGTTTTCATCTTGTGATTTGCTCTTTGAAAAGAACAGGCTCTTAGTACATTGTTAACAAGTGCGTTTGCATCAGTGAGCTGTTCAGCGCTGCTGGCATGTTACGTTTGCCGGTTGAAGACGACTGCACCACAGTTATTTCAGTTTCACCTCATTCCTGTTGGCGCCACGACAAGGCTGTGATGTTCTCCCACGAGAACAGCGGGTTTCACACAAATACTGTGAATCTCTCCTTCATAGACTCTTTCATTAATCAGGAAGAGAGGAGTCAGTACTTCAGTAATTCAAAGATAACCTTGAATGTAGCTGCGGGACACATTAATGGCAGGTACACTCATTGTGAAAAGTAAATCCAAGTCGTTGCTTTTGGCCTGACAGGTTTTTCAAATTGAATATTTCCACATCGTGTTAATGGGTAAACTGCACCCACATTATGAAAAGAGGGGAAGCTAATTTTCATTAAGTGTGACTCCAACACAGAGAGAAATACTACGCAACAGAAAATGAGTGTTTTCAGTTTTGGATGTTGAGTCAGGTTTCCACGCTGCGAAGAAGGCGGATATGATTTGTTAATGAGACGCCTCCTCATCTTCCCACCACCCAGCTCATAATTAGATAACTATATTCAATCAGATATTCTCCCAAAATGTAATGCGATGTTTATAGTGAGATAGTCTTGATGGACATCAACAACATTTTTCCAAAATTTAGAATCAGATGTAGGTCTTATCTTTGTTTAATAATGCACACAATCTCCGCTGAGGATTATAGAAGATGGCGTCTTAAGGGGCCACTTTGTGTTTTAATTTGCGTTCGCTTTCAGCTCCTGGCTCGGTTTCAGCATCTTTTGCCACTGGTGTGCATTGTGAGAGTGCGTTTGCCACATACCAGACTGTCTGTTTACAAATGAAGTCAAAGTATGTTCAGTGCATTTGTTTCAACAACGCTAACTCTTTTTCTCAAGAGGAAGGGAAATGCGGTGGCTTGAGCAAAAAATGTGGAGCAGTTCACAACATTTTCAGCTCCTACCACTCACATGTTGATGTTTCCTCCAAGACGAGAATAGGGTCGTATGATGCAGTGCACACAAATAGATCATGAATTCAAATGAGCATATGTATTTTAAATGAACCGCAAGTGACATAACAGTTATATCAGCATCAGGCTGTCACCTTCACAGTATTTACTTCATTCCCTTCACTAATGCACAGTACACATATGACTATAAGATACTGCAAACATGCATTAACACTGAATAGTTGTACAGCATTATGTGTTATGACCAGTTCAACTGATTCTTTAATTCTGCAAACATACACTTACAAACTTGGACCTTGGAAGCACAGACATGTGTAGTGCTGGAAATGATCCACACCTACATCATCATTCATTATTCATCCAGTGACATTTGTGAACTCTTCATGACTATGTGTGGAGACATTTTATTTTATAACTGTGAGCACAAACAAAATAAGAAAAATTTAGCTGTAATGTAAAATATAAGCTATGCCAACATCAGAAACCGCAAAGGAATATACAGAATTAAAGGTAAACATTAACATAGCAGGGCTTCAATGCATCTAGTTTTACATCCCTCTGCAGTTTATTTAATCTCAATGGAGTAAACTGTTGTAAATTCAGCTTTTGCAGATAAGTTTTTTTCCCCTTTATTGTAGAAGTGGCTCTGTGAATATAGAGTAAACGGTAGCGGTCTCTTCTTATGCTCTGATATTCCGGTTTACACAAAATAAATCAGTTGTTCCTTGGCCAAAGGCTTATCTGCCCAAAATTTCACTGAAATCCTTTCATGGGCTTTTGGAGATACTGTATCCTGCTGACAGGCGGACAGACAGATAAACTAAAGGGTGAAAAGACATCATCCTGAACCCTCTGCTCTCCTCCGCAGGTTCCTGCCAGATCGGCTGGGCGTATTACTGCACAGGGGCCGGGGCGGCAGCTGCCATGCTGCTCTGCACCTGGCTGTCCTGTTTCGCAGGGAAGAAGCAGAAGCAGTACCCGTACTGAAGAGAGAGAGCATCAGAGAGACGGGGGACAGACAGAGACCTCAGGCGGTACGACTAAAGGGAGAGGACTCTGTGGACTCACAGCAGTACAGCACACCAGGCACCAAAGACACCAAGTCATTCTGGTGCTCTGCACATCATGGGACTCTATTCATCTGACAACTGCAGGGACTGTTTCATAATGCAGCACACACACATGGCTTTGAAAACTGGTTCTTCTCTTAAAAGCTGTTCTTAAATGAAAAATATATGGACCAATCCTATTTGTAAAATTGTTACATAACTATTTCTTTAACAAAAAGAGTATTCTCTCTTCTTTTTTTTTTTTAATTTGTCTTCCTCTCCTTCGGTCATTGATGTTTATGTGATAGTGAACCCTGTGATTAAGAGAAAAGTACTATTGCTTCATTGTTCCGTGAAGTGTTTCTGTCTCCTCTTCATATCTCATCCTTGCCTTAAACACAAACTGAAATGCAATAATCCCTATAACGTAAAGCAATCCAACACTGGCTGCCTGCTCCCTCAACTCAGCCTTCTCAGACTCCAAAAATCTAAGCATATAGTTTATTTAACACATTCATAAGATGTATGTTGTGTATGATAATGTATTTTATCATATTAGCACATGTTTTGTATTCACTGTTCAAATTGTTCTTTGTCATTATTTTTGTTTTGTAAATAAATGTTTATTGAAATTTACAGATTTAATGTGTTACTTCAGTCACAGAACACACCCTGGGGTAAAGTGAACGGACCTGCACTCACATTCCTAAAAAGCTTTTCCCATGACCTCTTGATCTCCGTGGTGTTCACTACATGTGGGAGTCCTTTTTTCTCCCCCCCCCCCCCCCCACAATCGATAAAGAGGATAAGGACAGGCAGTGCTGTGAATTTAACTTTTCCCTATTATTGATGAGGTAAATCCCGTGACTTCTAGTCAGATTATTTGCCTTTTGATCAGGTTACTCAGCGTCAAGGCTTCAGACTCTTCCAGACAATGCCCGAGATGCAATCACACCCTGGGACACCGGGTAGCTGCGCAACCATCAGCTTAATGTCGAGGAGTATCTCATAGATTCCTCGACCTGCCTTCATAGTGTGAATAACAATAACGGTAACCTTTTCATAGCAATTACCACAGCTGTATGTGTGTCATCGGAGGCGTGAGCGGCTCCCAGCTTTTCAGTTACTATTTTTAGTCTATTTTTTCCCCTTCTCTGTTTTTCCTCTTTTTGATTAACAAACAACACTTCAGAGACTCAACCAAGCCCAAGTGTACAAAGTCAGCTCATTTACAATGCAGCTGTTCTCGATGTATTTGGCCCTCATTAGCATGCCCATTTTCTCACAATGCTCGGCATCCCCCAGATAATGGCAACCCCCACTCCTCCCCATACTCACTTGAGAAATCTCTCTCAGTACTTGCTCTGTTTAATGTGTTGGAATGGCTCCTCTGCATTCTGCTCTCTCTCCCTCTCTCTCTCTGATCCACTGAGCTGATTGATATCACCAGTGATTGTTACAGTGTCAACCAGATGCCTCATCAGCAGATGCTGACACATTGGGGTCAAGTTGGAGCATTCCCTCCTTTTATATCAGTACCCATACCTCAAACTGGCAGAGTGCACCGTGCAATCTGAAGTCTTGTAACTCGTGGGCGGCCGATTGTCTTAAAACATGCAAAATGTGTGGTATCCGGGAAGTACGGCTGCTCTCATCAGCTGCTGAGTGAAGGGAAATTACAACTACTGGAAGTAATGTGAATTTAGATCGGCCAGAGCTACTGTTTGCTGTGACCACTCTGAAGTGTATTTACTTTTTTAATGCTGCGAGGAACACACACTGATTTATACTCACCTCCATTCTACTGGTGTAGAGGCAGAAATCTCTGACAGATATGTCAAAACCTAGAAAGATGAAGCCAAAACTGTCAGTGTGCTCAGATAACAATAAAGAAAAATATTATTTTTTTTGTAATTTGGGTGAACTTAGCCTTTAAGAGCACCCTTCAAACAGACAGGGGTTGAACATTTGACACAAAATTGGGTGGAGTATCACTTTAATGGCAACAACTGCTAATTAGCCAAAACTTATCTTTTCAAAGTAACAAAATATATAGCCTATATATTTGAAAATCGCAAGGATTGCCCTTTCTTTTTCATTTATGACCATAATGTTTAAGATTTGGGAAGATCAGCAGGTCTCAGATTTTCAGAGATGTATAATTTGATCTTGGAAGGTCAGCTAAAGTTAGGCCAACACACATCTTCACAAGAGTGCTTGGGCTGAATCCGAAGAGTGGTAGCCTATACCAAATAAATATTTTCTCTTTTTTTCCTCATTAATTGTCTTCAACCTTGAAGGAAAAAGCCACGAGAGGAAGAAAACATGAGGGGAAAATCAACAAAAAACAATAAAACCATTAAGTGAATGCTGCTGAAGTTAAAGTATGGCATCAGTTGAAAAAACCCAAATTGTGCACTGAATTTTTAGATATAGTTAGAGCTGGGATTATCTAAGGGAGAAAGAACCGAATCACCTTTGGAAAGTTCAGCCTTGGCAGCCAGTTAGAGACTTCTACATCAATTAATTCTTTCTAATTAATCCCCCCCCCCTCACCCAAACACTACCCCAGCAAGATAATTACTGCCCTTAAGAGCAACTGTGCTTAAAAAGGGTTTTGTGCTACTATAACACCAATCTCCATAAAGATATTGCATAATTGATATTGCTGCAGGATAGCATTATAGGGAGCTGTATCGAACCTGTTGAGCAAAATGAGAGTTTGTCACCCTGGTAACCCAAAGAAATCATCAGTAGCGGTTATTTTGCTGTGTAATTGCCTATATGTGAAAGTGCTGGCAGTGGATTAGATAATATTAGTATGAAAAAAAAAAAACTTCAAAGTACTGAAGTATCCGCAGCACAATAACTAAGACACAAGCATTTCACATTAGCTAAAGTACCAACAGTGTGTCCTCACTGATTTAAAATAAAATCCCACCCACATATTTTGCTCTTTGTTTCCCGCTGTGTTTAAAGGAACTGCTAATTAGCCATATACGCCTCCTTTAAGAGATCTGATCGTTGCTAGGTTTATACGGACAGGGAAATAAAGGGAATCCATGATAACAAACACCAGACAATCTGCATCAGCAGAGAGGATCAGAGACTGTTACTGAAAGCTCACACACAGGAATAGACAGATTACAGCTGGAGGTTCAGTGGTTCACCTGCAGGGATACAGAGAGGCTGTGCAGGCTTTTTGAAGTTAGCAGTTTGTTTGAACTCAGAAAACGTAATCCCCATACTGGGAGGGCATATTTGCTTAAGAGAAAATGTCATAATCTTCTCAGTATTAATAGTGTCACTGTTTACCGTTTGAAGTCCCTGGACACCAACACAGATGTTTCCAGGCCTGGCTGAACACACCTCTGTTCAGGTGGAGAGTGGGTGGAGCTTACACCTGATTCCAGAACAGGAGCTTTTTCACAGAAGGAAAAGCACAGGCGATGCCAACAACATTCAAGTGTCCCAGTAAGACATGACGGTTTGTGGGCCAGAATGCACAATACCAAAACCCTGAAACCAAATGGAATTCAGCCATCGTTTATTTTATCATTTACACCTCTGCTTTTCCTGCTGTCAAAATGTCTTCTGTGAAAAAAGGGCCTATGATAAAAGTGTAATTTATCCTGTCCAACAAGGGCAACAAAGCTAATAATAGAATCTGAGAGGTGTCGATCAAGCATTATCTGCACATGCTCACACAGTCCTAATCAGCCCAAATCATTCAAAATAACCTCTGTGGGTTTAACATGGCTGTGCAGAAATGTGATCCTCAAACATCAGACAAACATGGAAAAACTGGAGGGTGTAGCCCAAGCTTATAATTCATCTGCATGCAATAAACCTGTGGGCTACTGTAAATGTCTGGACCACTGCATTAATAACAGATGTCAGTTTTTCAGGCTAGAGAATTCATAAACATTAAAATCCCAAATGGCCTCCTCTTTCCCTCACTCCTCCTCCTTACCACTTCATTCGATCATCTCCTTCAGGTTATTTCCTACTCAGATAAGAGCAGCACTGACAGGAAAGGAGCAGAAGTAAAAAAAAAATAAAAAATAAAAAAAAGCTTTGGTTTCCACTCACAGATGTCTTCCTTGTGTGTAGTTAGCATCAATGAAAGCCTGTAGGATGTAGGCCTTTCAAGCTACTCAGGCAGCAGGATTATTTCCAAGCCTGGGTGAGACCTGGCTACAGCAACTTCATAGTTTCTAAAGACCAAAAGTACTGCCTCACAAATTTCTAGAGAACTGAAATCATACCTCTGGGCACAGTCTCAAAGAAAAAAAAAAGCATTGTGAGCTTCTCAAAGGTTGTGCAGATGGCACAGTTTCAATTCAATGCTGAGTGGAGTTCTTCAATGGAGTTCTGCTGCACTATTTTCAGTAAAGTAAGGAAAATTCAAACTTCACAGCCCTCTCTTTACTGGGGGAACATAAACCCCTATAGAGACTGAGCATACCAGACACCCAACAGAGTGCAAATATTTGAGGACCCCATGGAAGACCAAGTGCAATGAGAGATATATGCAGAGAAGATGCAAGAGCAGCTTCTATCCAAAAACTGTCAAAACACTGAGGTACTGTTCAGTTTAATAAACTGTGCAATCAACCCTCTGCACTACAGAAACCTCCCAGGAGAAACATACTCATTCTTTTATCCTTCACCAAAAGCTTGAGAAAACTCCCAGTCTGCTGCTGTTTTAAAGCTGTTTCACCCATTTTTCTATCATGTTTTTTTTTTTTTTTTTTTTAAATATTTAAGTCTTGCGAAGTGCATCACCTGTCCACAAAACGTTGTCTCAGCTGAGCTCCTCTGGGAGCTCTTTGATAAAGTTAATCCCAACATCTTATCAGTCATAAACAGCTCTCTGGCCACTGGTATTTACCAAGTTTCAAGCAAACAGTAGCTCAGCTCCTACTTAAGAATCCAGCATCGATTCCTTAATCCTCAAACTTAACTGTAGGTTTAACTTTAAACCTCCGCTTCTGTTCAGTTAGTCAACTGATACTGATAATGAGAAATTCCATATTTGAGAGACCTTGGAAACTAAGACAGCCCATCACAAAGTAAGTCACAGTGTCTGATGAACTGCAGATGAAGATCTCTTCTTTTGTTAAGAATTATGCAATATGTTTTATAACAAGAGTGAATCAAATGTGCAATGTTAAAAAGGTCACAGTGACGCACTCTCTGATAAGTATCACTGACTCTAATAAACCTACTGAACGCTAACTCCAGTCTGGTCAGTGAAAATCACTTAAACAGTTAAAGAGATAGATATTTTTCTCAAGAGTAAGCAGAGAGTCCAAAACACCCTTGCAAAAGTTCCTCATGGTAAAATACCATCTGCTCTGTGGTCCTGCTACCTCAGGTTTTTGAGATAACTTCCTCTGGCACTTTTTGTGTTCCTGTGGCATTTTCCCTCTGGTATTTCTGTGGTACTCAAGAGATTTGTGTGGTATTCTGGGATGTCTACCGCAGGATTGTACCACAGGTTCTGCTGTAATTTACCACATGTTTACACAAGTCTCTGGGTAGTGGAATAGTAGCCTACCCCTGGAAACATGAACACAGAATGTAGATATGGATTATGGTGAATAGGGTTAAATCCATACGATATTTTACCA